AAATTCAAGAGATCTAATTTTTCCTCTGAGCAAAAGAAAACATAATAAACTTTCTGTCATGTTAAGACAGCATGGTAGTGGAACGAGTAACATGAGTATTATATAAACTGTATAACTTATGTTTAAATATTTTGATTTACACTATATTTAGATAGGGCACATTGCCAATCAAGCTTACTGCTATTGTTATTCTAAAAAAAGTACAGTAGAGATCAGATAACTCTTTGGATCTAAGTAAAGAAGCATAATTGAAAAACTCTTAACTGTTGTATTGTTAACATAAACATCACACCACATCTTATTTTATTAAGTTTGCTGGAAATCTGCAAAGAAGTCATTTATCTCAGCTTTTTGGTTAAAATCAAGTGTATTATCCAAGTGAAGTAATCTGTAATGGAGTGTGGTTTTTGGTCACAGGAGGGAATAAAAAAAAACCCCAAAATTGTACCGAAATCTGTAAATCATTTTTAGACTGTTCTTCTACTGCTCCTTAATCATATGGAATCTGATCTACTGATCTCTGAGGATAGTGAGAGCTTATGCAATTAAAATCTCTCCTTCCTCCTGCTAAATATATTGTTGTCAACGGTAAAAAGGAGAATGAATTGAATTTAATGAAGTGAACAAATTTAGAGTTGGGTCAGTTCATTCAAGGAAGTGGCTGAATTTCCACTGATTGCAGTAAGTCTTTTAAATGAAAAAGGTTTTTTTTTTTCTGGACTGCAGCTCGAATGTTAACTAAAAACACATGCTTTTGTGCTAATTTTTAAAAAATTGATCTATCAGTCACTAGACGGCACAGTCTCTTTATTGAGTCCTGGTAGTGACATGTACGTAAAATCAAATTATATAGCATATTATTAATATTTCAGAAATCTATATTCATACACAAGTTACAGTAGCAATTGGTGACAAATGAAGATAGCAACGTGATATTGTCCTTGTAATTAATTTAGACAGTTACACAATCTGCAGCTGTATAGTTATGGTCATGATTTATCACTTGTTGCTTGTATGTGCACTGAGAGCGTTTGCAGCGGAGACAAATTCCTTGTGTGTCCAATCACACTTGGCCAATAAAGTATTCTATTCTATTCTGTAGCTATATGTGGCAAGCATATAGTATTACTAAGTATGAAGACATGAGTCTGACTACAGAAGATTTATAGTTCTTCCTTGCAACCTGTAACCACCAAAGTTGAAGGACTCAAACACTTTCTGTCTTCAAACTTTTTGTTTGATGTGTGGTGCATCCTATTTCATCATCATCATAACTCCCCCCCTCCTCATCCCATTGAATGGTACTACACTGGAAATATACAGAACAGGCTTTCTAAGTTAGAAAAAAAAAGAGAGAGGATGTTTCTACTCAGTGTACTTTCAAAGTTTCTCTCTCCATATTGTTTGAATGTTTTTGAATGTTTATGTCTGCCTTCGTGCATAGAAGTAAATAATGCTAGCAATTGGTTGATTGACTCTTGCATAAATAAAAACTAGCTTCTGTAAGATCATTCCTTCTACTGAAGGGCAGATCATGATGATTAATAAAAATGAATTCAAGTACCATTAAGGAGAAACAGACTGTTTTTGTAGTATGTATATTTCTTTAACATATATACGTGAGACATAATAGAATATGTGTCAGTAATGGAATACAGAAAAAACACAGATTATAACCAGATATGTTGGAACAGTGTTTTTCATTGGTTAGTTTTTAGCTTGAAACTTTCCCAGGCTATCACCTTTTGCATTGTTTTTTTTTCTTCTGAAATTTGATGACTGCCAAAATATGTTCTTCTTTAAAATTTGGCTGCCTGTGAAAATGCTACCTCAACCATTTAACGTCATGTAAACACAATAAAATAGTTTCTTTCCCCTAATCATTCAACAGCCAAAGTCCCACCAAACCACTACTATGGAATTTTGAGAAGATCTGAAAACTACCTTTTAACTGAACGTGCTATGTTTTATGTTTTCAATATGGGAATTAAAAATATTTTTGAAATAATACTAAGAGTATGGGGATTCTGTAGGCCCTGCAGGAAATTCCAAAAAATATCCAGTCTATATCATGGCAGCAGACAGGAGTAATTGAATGAGTTCCAGTCTGAACATCTCCAGATGTTTCATAGAATATCAAACATGAAAAAGATAGGACATTCTGTACAAAGTTAACAGTTTTAGCTTTTATTTGTGTCATAATAAATATTTTCTTGGACTTCTAGTTGCTACAGTAACCACAAGGAACTGCCTGGAATTTCTTAATTAAATTGAGGAAGTGACAGAATCCACATGTCTCACAAAACCTCTGTAATTAAGGACAGATTGACACTTTCTCCCTAGACCATCAATATGGGTTGCCCGTCATTGACTGCAGCAATAAATGATGTAATCTTCCCATTCTCAGCTCATCACAAATGTACCTGTGGGTTGAGGTCCTACTTCAAAATCCTTGTTTTTCATCTTACCTTTCTTAAACTCTGATGGTCTTTCTGATCTAGTGACCACCCCATCTCCGATCAATTTTCTGCTTGTCATGCAACCTCCCTTCTAGCAGCTGCTTACTACGCTCATCATTTTTTATCATTTATCATTTATATTTTTATTATATAAAATACAAAGAAGAAAAGAAAATGGGAAATTAAGGGGGGAAAGGAAATGGGGAAAGGGGGTTGTGAGATACAAGGGAGAAGTGAAAAAGAAAGAAAAGGGGGCATTGACTTCCAACTCTTCCTGGCAGGGTACAAGATAAACACATTCCTTCCTCAAACTTTTGCTTTTACACATCGATATGTAACTAGCCATTCCTATAACACCAAATCATTCTAATCAACAAAACCAAGATCAAAGTTTCTTTTTTTTTCTTTACAAGCACAAATCCAGAAGTGATATCCAAATAAGAACATATTTTCCCCTTTAAATAAAGTAGTCAATTTAACCATTCCTGCTTTATCTTCCTTGCTATGGAAATGTATTTCTATTTGCACCTAGTAATTGTGAACTGTTACCATTTTTATTTACAAAATTTATTATAGTCTTTCAAATTCTTTGGCCTTACTGAAAAAAAAGGGGGAAGCCTTTTTTTTTTTCATGCCTTCTTTCCTTCAAAGTACTAAACTTTTAAAAAACACTATTTTAAAATCAAAACTTTCTAATACACCTTTTTCTTTGATGTAATGTACAAGCGTTGAACTTTAGTATTGCATTTAGCTCCCTCCCTCTACACTACCCTTGTAGAATATATTTTTTTCTTTTATAAACATCCTTTTTAACATACAGGGTTTTTCTTTAAACTGGTAGGTAGAAGTGTGCTCACCATTTTTAAAGTATAATTGATCAAACAGGGCATGTTAAGTCAATGAACTTTCCTCACTTGTATTTATACCCATTGGAGAAGCTTATTATCTCATTCAACCCTTATTTCTTCCAGAGAATTGCTTTCCTATTCCCAAAATACTCCAAAACTTTTGTTTCCTTCTTCTAAAGTGCAACATAAACACTTTAGTTCCAGTAAATGCTGCTTTGCTTCTATGAAGCTCAGTGCAGTTCTTGCTACAGAGTTTTTCTTGGACCTGTAATGAAATGTAGGAATGAAGGAATAACCTATTCCCTTTGCTTTAATTAATTTAGCATCAATGAAATAATAATAATACAATAAATGGAGGGAAAAAACCAAAGGATTAGTGTCAAAAGAGAAAAGATAAGAAGGGATCCATTCATGTGTGCGAACATATGGAAAAGCAAAGAAAAGGAGACTAGTGTGGGGAGGGCAATTCTTAAAAAGAAAAGTCAGGAATTAATAGACTGATTGATACTGGAGCCAGCCAGTGAAATTTGTTTTCCTTGAACACACAGGAAGCGCAATTTGCAGAGGAACAATCAGTTAGATCCTATGGTCTTAATCCTATAGTCACAGACTGTGCACCAACTCAGCCTTCTCATCAGATCACTGCAATCTGGACTGAAATGCTTAAATTCAGTTTCAGAAACCATTGGGACAAGCAACTTCAGCTACAGTGCAGAATCATTCTAAAATCAAAGAGGCTGTTCAAAAAGACAAAGATACATGATAAAAATGAGAATTCACCATGAACCTAAAATCTAGATGTTTAGATAGTTTAGGGCACCAGATCTAACTCAGGATAGTGTACCCATAACCAGGTATTCTATTAGTCCTCCGACAGAAGGCAATGATTCAGTCCAAGCCCATAGTAATTTGGGAAGTGCAAATTAGGCTGGGATTTTATTTTGAAATGCAGATGGAATAAAATGCTTTCCAATCCCTAATTTACATTCAGAAAAAGTTCCCTTGACCAGAAACACAGAGGGAGGCAATTTGTGCCAAACTGTTCTTCCTTCTGCCACATGTACAGCTTCTCAATCCACTCCAGAGTGCGAGGAAAGTTTCTAGAACAGGCTTGGAAGGCTAAGAGGGAGCTATAAACAACAAAGCAGAAGTCTTCCCCCCTGCTTTGATTCATGGAAACTCAATGAAAAAAAGCCACCTGTGAATGGAAGGATAAAATTGGTTGTAACCCAATGATTATATCTAAAAACATTTATGGCCTGTTTGGACAAGAAAAATTGTTAAAATAGAAGAATGGAGTGACTTTGGATGCCTATGCTTAAACAGGTAATAAATTACAATTAGTTGTTGATCTTTTAAAATTTAGGTTCCTCTTCTGAGAAGGTTGTTGGATTCAGTAACCCAAATGAGCTCTTCCAACTCAATGGTTTTACCCTTTTTGATCAATGATTATTTTTGTTTAAATTCTACATGGTTAAGTTGAAAAACCCAGTGGAAGTCAGCATAGAAGGTTAATGCCATCTGTGCTTTTGAATGGTGGTGTACTGTATGTCTATGTTTAACTCCTATCTGAGCATCCTCAGATAGGAACATACGAGCCTTCAGTGGTTAGTGGTTAGAGTGCAGTACTGCAGGCTACTTTTGCTGACTTCCGGCTGCCTGCAATTTGATAGTTCAAATCTCACCAGGCTCAAGGTTAACTCAGCCTTCCATCCTTCCAAGGTGGGTAAAATGAGGACCCAGATTGTTGGAGGCAATATGGTGACTCTGTAAACTGCTTAGAGAGGACTGTAAAGTGGTATATAAGTCTGAGTACTATTGCTTTTGCTATCCTATATTTAAAGTCTTCCAGGTTGCTCTTTGAAATCCTTGGAATGACTCTCATTGACTCAAGCCCAGGCTGTGCATAAGTCTCCAGTGGTTTTTATTAGACACAGATTCCAAACAATCCAACCAAAAAGAATGGCCAAATTTGTTCTCAGAACTGTTCTCCAACCTCACACCACGATAAACAGAGTTGACGTGATTCTGCAAACAGGGGATATCATGTAAACTGCAGCACTCATGAAAGCAGGGTGAGTATTAATATTTACATACCAACTGGACACTCTGCACAATTGTCATGTACTATACTAGCATGAGTTCTGTTCTTTCTAAAAAAAATGACAAAGGAAACAGTGAACAAAGCTATCCTTCATTACTCCTGTCAAGTATGGGTAGAGACTCATAAGAATCAGACTTCCACATAATATCCAAGGGCATTCCCTTTTTTTTTTTTTAAAAAAAAAAATGTATTAAACTTGAAATGCCATAGTTATGAAAATGGACTAAAGTTCCTACTCCTGAACATTTAGCACAACTTTGAAGATTCTGAATTCTATCTGAGGACAGAATATCTGGGAGGACAGTTCTCTGAAAAAAAAGGAGATAACTTTTTACATCGGGGGCAAAGAGAAATTCTAAACATTTAATTATATTTTCTCCTGCTAGACATTGTCTGTATCAGAGTAAACACTAAATCTTTTACAATGATGATTCTTTATCTCATGCAAAAAAATAATAATAGATATTTCATTTCAAACTTTGTATACTTGCCTTCTTTCATTCTGCAGTGCATGCGCCATTGAAAAGAAAAGAAAAGAAAGGAAAGGAGAAGAAAAGAAGTTCATTTTTCACTTCGGTTATCTTTTGTGGACACATATACTAATTTATACCTTCCTTTCTTTTGGAGGGCTGCTTCATTTTAGCTTTGCAAAAGTCTGGTGAAATAAAGCTACAGGTAAGAATTGTGGAATGATAACTGCAAATATCCTAAACACTTTCCATCAGAGCCACGGTGGCGCAGTGGTTAGATGCAGTACTGCAGGCTACTTCTGCTGACTGCCAGCTGACTGCAATTTGGCAGTTTGAATCTCAACCAGGCTCAAGGTTGACTCAGCCTTCCATCCTTCTGAGGTCAGTAAAATGAGGACCCAGATTGTCAGGGGCAATAGGCTGACTCTGTAAGCTGCTTAGAGAGGGTTGTAAAGTACTGTGAAGCAGTGTACAAGTCTAAGTGCTATTGCTATAAACTGAAGGCACTTAGATTATGGATAAATATAAGTATCTGTTGTATAGGAAGTAATGTCCTGCTTGTGTGAAGAATGTATATAATGTTAACGGTAAATCCTTAACTCATCTGTACAGAAAGACACCAGAATGTGCTAATCAAATGCCCCTTCAGGTGTCCTATGGGATCGGTGATATAGCAATCTCTTTTAGTTTATTTTATTTTATTTTATTGTCATTGCACCTTGTACAACAAAATCAAACACCATCTTCAATGCACATCATGACCATGACCATGAAAATAAACACAAACACACATCCTTCACCCTTCACACACTGAACCGGAAACCCCCGACACCACACCAACACTGCACTATACAGCAGAATTCAAAAGAGCTACTGCCCTGGGATAGAAGCTGTTTTTCAGCCTATTTGTTCTTGTTTTTATTATTCTGTACCATCTGCCAGATGGTAATAGTTCAAAAAAAGGGTTCCCAGGATGAGATGGATTTTTGAGAATGTTTTAAACTTTCTTAAGGCAGTGGGAGCTATAAAGCTCTTCCAAAGAGGGGAGAGGGCAACCAACGATTTTCTGGGCAATGACATTAACCCTCTGGAGTGCTGTCCTATCTGCCACTGTGCAATTGGCAAACCATACAGAGGTGCAGTATGTTAAAATGCTCTCTACAGTGCAGCGGTAGAAGGTCACCAGCAGTTTTTCATTCAGTTGCTGTTTTCTGAGAAGCCTCAGGTAGTATAATCTCTTCTGGGGCCTTTTGACCAGGGCTGCAATGTGGGCACCCCAGGTCAGGTCCTCTTTTAGGGTAATACCCAGAAACTTAAAACTGGCCACTTGCTCCATTCGGTCTCCATTGATAAGCAAGGGCTGGATGTCTGATCTGTTCCTTCTATAATCCACTATAAGCTCCTTGGTCTTATTGGTGTTGAGGACCAAGTTATTGTCTCCACACCGTGAAAGCAACCAATCCACCTCATCTCAGTAGGCAGACTCATCCCCCCTGGAGATAAGTCCCACCACTGTTGTATCATCTGTAAATTTAGTAATAGTATTACTAGCCTGAGTGGGAATGCAGTCATGCACATAAAGAGTATAGAGTAAGGGACTCAACATGCAACCCTGTGATGTACCAGTGTTAAGAATAAGGGCTGAAGAGGTATGATTACCTAATCTGACCCTCTGTGAGCGGCCAGACAGGAAATCCATAATCCAAAGGCAGATTGAATTAGAAAGCCCAAGGTCCAGAAGTTTAGACACTAGTCTATGTGGAAGAATTGTGTTAAATGCAGAACTAAAATCCTCACATAGCCCTCCCACTGTTCTAGATGAGTCAGAGCAGCGTGAAGAGTGATGGCTATAGTGTCCTCTGTAGATCTATTTTTTCTATATACAAACTGGTGTTTATCAAATGTTTTACTGCCTAACAGCAGTGTTTCAAGAAAATTACATTACCTAATCAAGAAAAAATATTCAATTTGGAAAAGATGTAGAATGGAAAGAATGGCAATAACTGATAGCAATTTATCACTGCAATATATGAATGCCACTATAGTTTGTGTTAAGCCAGCCATGATCCCGAGAAGACTTAGTGTAGCTGCTTTTGAGCATCTGCTGAGATTGGCTGTGCCTTGCATGTCAGTGAAATGACACTGAAGAAAGTGACTTATGACTATTTTTCACACTTATGACCATTGCACCATCCCCATGGTCATATCATCAAAATTCAGACACTTGGAACTAGCATGTATTTATGTTGTTCTGGGATTCTGCGATCACATTTTGTGACCTTTTGACAAGCAAAGTCAATGGGGAAGACAGATTCAAGCTTACTTAATAATAATCTTGTTTAGCAATGGAAAATTTTGCTTCAATTGTAGTCATAAGTCAAGGACCACTTGTACAAACAACTCTATGCAAAACTAGATGAAGGAAGGAAGACTTTGACATTGAGCAAACTTTTCTAGGATTTGAAAGGCGCAGCCAAGAAATCCAGAGATTCTAATCTTGCATTTCAAGTAGGAATGGATAAATATTAAAACTATCTGAGGGCTGGAAAATCATCAAAGAATCCAAACAAGTTAGTTCATGCATTGTGTGTACCTGTGTGTATGACTTTTTGTTTTTAGGTTATTATTATTTTCTAAATCAAAGTAACTAATGGCACAAATTATATCTTGATTCCTTTTTTCTTTGTACATTTACATGGTTTCAATGTCTTGGGGAACTGATTCTAAATTTTCATGTCCATCTGAAAATATATTTGACTTCTTACTGATAAACTGTAGCAAAAAAAAAAAAAAAAGGAATAATCCAGATAATGCTGGATATTTCAGTCTAAAGGAAAAACATGTTTGAGATTTTTTTTTTTTTCAGTTTGAGGGCTCTTTTCAACATTTGTCAAGCAAGTCAGAATTAGTAATTTCCTTTGAAAATAAAATTAGACATTCAGACTTCAAAATAAAAATAGAGCTTTCTGCTCCTTATTTTGTTTGCTTTTTAGAAGAGTAAACAATACGTTGATAATGATCAAGCTTTGAAATGCACACCCTTCTCTGGATAAATGGCCGAAGTTAACACCTCACTTGGCACTGAGGCTTCAGTCCGTCTGATTTTAAGTCCCCAAATATAGAAAAGATTGCTTTAAAGGTTGAAGGTTATCCTCCCATGAAGTGGAGCAGATCCCTTGCTTAATTTCACAATGGGTTTGATGTTTAAGTGGGATGTTTAGGTATGGAATTAGACGTTATTTTCTTAGCCACTAACAATGAATAGTACTACCTACAAAGAGCTGAAGATTGGTAACCTGGTTTTATTCTTTAGTCAACGAAGAGTATTCTCTCAAAGAAAAATGTGCCAAACCAGTCCCGCTGTGTTTAGGAACCTCCAAATCAGAGGTGGTATTCAGCAGATTCTGATCAGTTCTGGAGAACCGGTAGCGGAAATTTTGAGTAGTTCAGAGAACGGGCAAATACCACCTCTGGTTGTCCCCGCCTCCATCTATTCTCTGCCTCCCGAGTCTCAGCTGATTGGATGGGTCTTCTTTTGTTGCCCTGCACAGGAGAACGGGGCTGGAAAGCAGGTTAGTGGGGTGGGGCGGCAATGGGGATTTTGCAGTAACCTTACTCCAGGAATGGGGAGGGAATGGAGATTTTGCAGTGACCTTCCCCTGCCACGCCCAGCAAGCCATGCCACTCCTACCATGCCATGCCCATAGAACTGGTAGCAAACATTTTTGAATCCCACCACTGTTCCAAATGGTTCATTTTGCGTTTTAGAAAAAGAATCTAAAGATTCTAAAGATTAAAGGAGCAATGGGTGGAAGCTCATCAAAGAGAGACCTGGAACTAAGGAGAAATTTCATAACAATAAGAGTAATTAGTCAGTGGAATAGCTTGGCTTCTGGAGTTGTGGTTATTCCATCACTGGAGGTTTTTAAGAAAAGACTGGACAACCATTTGGTTGGGTTAGTATAAGTTCTCCTGCCTTGAACAGGTGATGGGATTAGAAGACTATTACGGTCCCTTGTGATTCTATGGTTCCCTCTATAAAATTCTGCTGTCTGATGCTTTGTTGGGCTATATACAGGTAGTCCTAGACTTACAACAGTTCATTTAGTGACCATTCAAAGTTACAATGGCACTGAAAAAAAGTGAGCGATGACCATTTCCTACACTTATGACCATTGCAGTGTCCTGGGGATTACTTTTTGCAACCTTTTGACGAGGAAAGTCAATGGGGAAGCCAGATTCACTTATCCACCATGTTTACTAACTTAACAAATGTAATCATTCACTTAACAGTTGTGGCAAGAAAAGTCGTAAAATGGGGCAAAATGCACAACTGCCTTGCTTAGCAACATAAATTTTGGGTTCAATTGTGGTCGTAATTTGTGGACTACCTGTATTGTTTTTATACCTCGTTCTCTGAAAGCTCCACATAGCAGTTATGGGACTGTTCCTTAATTTTGTCTACTTTACCATAGAGATGTGCATACTTCAGAAAAGATTTAGGAGAGGATTTTTGAAAAGTATGTGTGTGTGTGTGGGAGTGAGCATAACATCTCTTCAAAGCATTTTTTAGGCTTTAGAGTACACACAGTACTACAGTAGTATGTAGTGGTGGGATTCAGCCAGTTTCCACTGGTTCACGTGTACCGTTGTTAAATTACACTCCTCCCCCCTCTGCTATCAAAGTGAATCCTGGGTGTTGTGCCATGTGGGCTACAGAGCGGCCTGTGCAAGGAAAGGAGAAGGCTGCTTTCCCTCTTTCTTCTCCCTGCTCCTCCTCCTGCCCTTTTGCTCCGTTTTCCATTTCTCCGTTGCAGCACAGCACCCAGGATCCACTTTGATAGCGGGGCGGGTGTGTGTGTTTAATTTAACAACCAGTTCACCTGAACCAGTGCAAACTGGCTGAATCAAACAGGCTGGTCCCACATGTGCGGCAGAGCTGGAGAACAGGGATGGGCCACGCCTCCCAACCAGTTCACCTGACCCTGGGTGAACTGGTTGTTAAATTATTTGAATCCCACCACTGGTAGTATGCCTCTCACAGTCTCTGTGCAGCTTTTCTTCTTCCTTTCCAGATTCTGAGGAAGTCTGAGAACTACTGATCCGTAGAGCAGGGTCCAGGGTTATATATGTATGAAAGCAGGTTGTGTAATCATGATTTAACTCCTGCCCATTTGTGTATGACATCAACAGATGTATAAATGGGGCAGGGTTTTTGATCAGAATGCTGTAACTCCCAAATGTCTCTGGAGCTTCTCTGTCATCCAGGTCATGGTTGTCCCAAAGGTGCTTTTTCAAGAGGCAACTGGATTTTCTGGATTTTCTTTGAAGATGTTTCGCTTCTCATCCAAGAAGCTTCTTCAACTCTGACTGACACCAGTAACTGCCACTTTACCTGTTTGGATAAACACACACCTTGCAGATATGAATATCAGACGAACCCTCTTGGCAAGTCCAATCCAGTATTGTCATAGTAATGTCAAAGTAATATTTTAGATAAGATTTTTGGTGTATCTTAGATAAGACCTTTGTGCATCTTTTGCAAACTGATGGTGGTACCATAGGAGCAGGTGAAGTGATGTGGGTTTTTTTTTCTCTCCCAAGATGGTCTGGGAAAGAATCCATGTGAAATAATTGTATAGTTGCTTCTGTATCCAACCAGGTTCAGCAACATTTTTTTTTCTGTTCAGTGTTATATTTCCTTGGGGACTCTGCACATGTACAGTGGAAAGAGAACTTAAGGAGTAGAACAGAAGCAAAAGGGCCTGGGGTCATCCATTTCCTCTCTTTTGGACACTCCTAGATTCTTTTCCTTTTTTTCCTTTTATTGATTTAGTTTATTAGATGTCTATCTTGCCTTTATTACTTTATAAGTAACTCAAGGCAGTGAGCATTGCTAATAATAATAATTCCTAAGCATTCCTTCATCCCCCTTTCTCCCCACAATAACTAACTGTGAGATGAGTTGGGCTGAGAGAGACTGACTGGCCCGAACTAATTCAGCTGATTTTTCATGCCTAAGGTGGGACTAGAATTCACAGTCTCCCAGTTTCTAAGTAACACCTTCACCACTAGATCTAACTGGCTCTTCAACACTTTTCTTTCTATTCAAATAGCAATCTGGAACGGAAACCTTTCGAAAAAAATTGTAAAGATCAAATACAATTAGATAGATAGATAGATAGATAGATAGATAGATAGATAGATAGATAGATAGA